AGCGCCCAGGCTTCGGAGACTGGCACGGAAGGCGGTGAATCTGTGCCAAGGCGGGCTGAGAACACCTACCCCATTTTGTCAGCCTGTTCCCATTCTCCACTTGTTAGCGGGAAATCTGCAGAGGGTGAGCAGTTGTGCGTCAGACCGGAGCGGAGACAAAGATACAAATTACCTTGAGGTGTCTCGTCTTTCCCCTTAGACAAAAGCTGAGCGTATTTGGAAGAACAAACATTTTCACATGGCTTATAGGTCAGGCTAAAGATCAACACGCCGAGGGAAGAGCAAGCTCAGAATGGTCACAGGCGATAAGTGACTCATGAAATTCTAAGTAGCAAAATGTAAGGCAATCCAGAGAGGAGCTGGAAGTAAAAATAGCAGCTGCAGTGAGAAAGAAAAATTAAGCACTGGCCAGGAGAGATGTGTTAAATCCTGGCTGGAGCTAAACAGGGTTTTATTCCTGCCCTGGCTGCTACACGATCTCGTTATATACCCACACACATATATATACACACACTTCCATTGGTTTTGTGTACATATTAGGCATTTTGTTTTGTAAAACACTCAGGAGCAAGGTGAAATATCAATGCAAGATATCTGCGGATAACTGGGACAGAGATGGAAGGAAAAGGAGCGCTGTGTATAAATATACAGAAGTTATTTGAGAAATTGAGGCTCTGAGCATATTGTAACGCAAACTCTGCAGCTGTGACATTTGATTATTAAGAAACCAGAGTGACTCAGTGCCGGTCTAATATTTCTGCAGATTTTAGCAATCAAATAAACGCCACAGCGCTTCCCAGGTAAGAGCTCAGGCTCCCAGGTTCATGTGTTTCTGCTGCTCTTATCACCTAAGCAGGGCAGGATGTTCACGTTCTGCGATCCCTCCCGTGTTTATGGCATCAAAGAGGATTAATCTCCAGCTCTTGGCAGGCGTAGGGACTGATTAAAAACATACAAAACTTACACAAAGCGTTCTCGTGACTTGGGAGAGCTCAAAACAGTACTTTGAGTACTGCACAACTCCTCTTTGAAAAAAAATCATGAACAGACTAGGTAGAAAGTTCCCCTGAAGATATGAAATCCCAGAGGGGAAGGGAAAAGCAGTGAAGCAGTGCCAGCAGAGTTAGTGAAATCATAAACAGCTCAAAACATCGTCTAGGAGAAAGCAAAAATGGAACCAAACATCTAGCGGGGGAGTGCTCTGGGTCCTCATAAGCACGCAGGGATATTTACATTGATTGACAAAAGTACCAGGAGCAGAGGCACTCACCAGCTTCAGAAAGCAACCGGGGACTTCTCAGGAGTTGGTTTGGTACTAACAAACTGCTCGAGTTCAGGTGGTTTGTTTCAACCCTGAAGATGTGGATATTTAGGGATCACAAGCAGAGTTAGTTCATCTCAATGGGAGAACTCGAGCTCAGAGCCACCACGACAGCCCTACATCTGGTTCCTTTTAGATTCGTGTTCTTCTAGGATCCACATTTCCCTTTTTACTGTGTGTTGTACAGCTCTTGCTAGGAAAAACCATCCTGCATCGATATGGGATCTGTCCGATTACACAGCAAAGAGCAAGCAAGGGACGGGCAGTGCCAGAAACACCGGACAGGTACTGCAGGACACCGTGAAACGCTGGAAGCTCTCCCAGGAAAGGCTCTTTCCATGTAGATCCCAGGATGATTTAAGAAGAGGCATTACCTGCGTTGTCAGGAGAGCACTGTCCTTGGGGCAGCATCATTTAATAATTAACAGCCTGAGGAGGGCAGGAAATAAATGCCACACAAATTAGAAAAGTAAGGTGCAGATGGGACAAGGGGAAAAGATTTGGCAGGAGAAGAGCCACCACACCCAGCAAAGGCTTCTGCTAGAGACCCTCAAAGCTGAAGAGGACCACCACTCATTTAGGTTTTAAAGCTCTGCACCTTGCTGGATGACAAATCTGGAACCCACTTCAAAAACCTTTTCTGTTCAGGTTTGTCAGTCGCCCTTTAGAAGCAAACACCAAGTTTTCACGTACCTTATACTCGGAGCCATGCTGGGATAAAAGCAATTTGAACAGATTAGAAAGCAACTATTAGCAGTTATTTTGCAGAAGCAGCTCTCTAGAATGCATGGATACGCTTCAAGCCATCATGTTATTTGCTGCAAAAAGCCCGCGCCACGTTCAAGACTGCATTAAGATTTTTTCTAAGATGGGAAGAAAATTTTAGCCTACAGTACAAGAGGAACAAGGGAAGCCGCAAGGACAGCATTTTGGCTTTAAGCTTCGGCATAAAAGTGTAATTTATTAAAGGAAAAGAAACTGCTGGATTCTACTTACACGGACAATCTGAACTCTGCATGTCATCACCGTGGTGGGAGCTATGCGGTGCTGAGAAGAGAAGGGCTGCAAACAAGCTACATGTGTGCTCTAGATGACCTTCTGTCCATTTACAGGCTCTACCATCTCTGAAATCCTTTGCTTCCACTCTCTTTACAGATCAGGGATCATCATGGCAAATTTCTTCCCTCCTAATTGCTCCCCCTGTGTTATCCAGAGCTCAGGCTGGCTGAGGACTGCTGGGTTAGGACACTTGTGATCGCTGCAAGAGGCAGATCTGGGCGAGAACAGGATCTCATCTTGTTCACAAGCTTGTTTCACACCCAGGAATGCTCCCGGTTCACAGCTGGGACGAAGGCTGGCTCTGGAGCTATCTGTAAAGCCCAAACCAGCGGTATCAGGCGCCGCACACCGATGAGAGCAGCGGTGCAGACACGGGGCTGGCCCCGAGGAAAGGCTCGAGACGCCGCTCAGCGCTGGCTGCCCAGATAAGCTGGGCTGGGGCAGCAGAAATGGGAACCAGACAAAAGCAAACCTCTTCCTGCAGCCGGTTGGGAGTTTCTCCAGGTCCTAGCACTCCTCGAGGCACTTCCACTCTCCAGCTCTTTCCTCCCCGCGGCAGAGCTAAGCCCTGCTTTGCTAAACCAGCTCTCGTCTAGCATTGACTGTTTATTCAACCTGAAGCTCTCAGCCGACAAACAGCAAGGACCTAGAGCAAGAGGCAGCTTTTTGGGGAGCTCAGCAAGAGAAGAGATGGTTATCAGCCACTTGACTGAAGACTTGTAGGGCAAGGGAAGCATGTGAGAAGGTCTGATGAGTCTGGAATAAAAGAGTCGCAACACAGCTGGTGTAAGAAGCAAGCCGATGGATGGAAAGAGGCTGTGCTAAAAGGAAGACGGCAGAAGCAGCGTTAGAAGGGACAGAGCAACTCGGCGATTCGAGCAGAAAAAACTCCCTGCACAGCCACCCGCCCCACCCTGAGTTCACAAGGAGAAAGGCCATCCTCGTGGCGTCAGGTCTGAAAACGCAGCTGGGCTGACTCTGATCCCAGGCCGCCTTTTCCTCCCGCTTAGCCCAACCAGCCTCCAAGCCAAGCCACCAAAAAGTCAAACCTACCACCTTCCACACAGCTAACCGGAGCCTAAATCAACAGCACTGTGAATATCCAAGAGCCTGGCCAACGTTTAACTGCACTGGCTTCACAGGGTACTGGGAAGAAAGTTTGTTTTTGCTTTAAGCCAGCAGCCTTGATTTCTGATACACTGGAAGAACATCAGGAAAGAGAAAAATAATCTTGAAAACTCGCACCAAAGCAATTAACAACAAGGAAACTGGGTTTTACGTGATTTCTGAGAGCTGTCTGTAGCCACACATTTAAGATTGCCAACGTGACAATACCCATTTGTGGCACTTGAGAAATGGGGAGGGGAAAATGGTACCAAATAACAGAGTGTGTATCTCATAACCAGTCTCTAACCTAAAAGATTTATAGCAAGTTTTAGAGCTGACTCAAGAGGAAAGAGAAATAGCTGCTGCAACACTGCATTGTTACTCAGCTGCGTGCACATTTCTATGGTTCAGTTAAGGTTTCAACCGGAAAAAAAAAAGAAAAGGTAAAGGACAGCGTAAAAACAGCGTCGCTCTTTCCCAACAGGCACAGTTCCCATTTGGAACTCGACAGATTATTTCTCAAACCAGATGAGAGATCTTAAATAGAAGGCACTCTTAGCGTAAGAGTCTATTTTAAGGCAATACTTATCAACTCCAAATCAGGATGTTGAGAGTGGAAGCGACCCATCTCATCCAACCCTCACAGTCACATTTCCACATCAGTCCTCCTTGGACAGTTTGCTCCAGGGTCCTCCGGTGGCTTGAGCCACAAGCACACCCTTCTGACGGAGAAGCGCCGTGTCACCGAGTTACCAGAACAGAGATGTTGCAAATCCGTGCATCTATTCCAGTTTTTCCAGAAATATTGGTTATTTCATTTATAGCTTCGGTGATGGGAATGAAGTGAGGTACCAGAAGAACATCGGAGTTAGATCACCGTTACCCAAGGACAGAGATAGGACAGATACAGCCTAAAGAACATTTTCTTATCAAACTTCCTATTTGCCCTGGAAGGTTAAACCAGTCTGACCAGTCTAGCCAGCTGCAGTTTTTCTGGTGATAGGTCCCTGCTTCTACGTTCTTCCCCATACGCATCACCTAGCCCAAGAGGACGGAGGTTTCAGCTCCTGCCTTCGCTTCCACCCACTTTTGGGCAAAAGGTCCCAAAAGCCAAGTTCATGCCAAGCCCAGGAACACACACTTTGCTCTCCGTAGTAAATGAGTCATTTCATACAAAGAGGCTCCAGCACTCGCTGTGGTATCCTGCACCTCACCCATGAATTGCCAGGTTATTAAAAACCACACGGTAGGGACACCGAGTCCATCACCACACGGTCGCGTGACCAAATCACATTCCCAGCTCCCAGCCCTTCAGCCAAAAGGACCAAACCTCCCCTCTGCTTGGCACGAGGTATCTGGAATTTTATGGTAAAAGCTCTCTGCAGAGTTGAAGTAAAGAACTTATGATCGCCCTGAGGGTTTGTACAACATCACCTGCAACACTGCGGCAAGCAAAAACATCTCTCCTGCACAAACAGTAAAAGGATTTTGATGGAAAGTGATTATTGGTTACCTATAGACGGGGATTTGAAAGGGTATTTATCAGGAAGGTCGACTCTAACTTTCCATACTCCACCTTCATATGGTGCTGCAACGAAAGAAACGCAGGTATTAGACACTTCGTAACTCGGGAGAGAATAAATAGAACTACAGCATTAAGCAAAACACAGCTTGGGAAGAATACTTCGTTCCATCGGGAGGTGAGATTTCATATCAAACCTCCTACAGTAAAAGCCTTTTTCCTGTGCTGCCTGACAAGAAAGATATAATTTTAACTGATACTGCAGAGGTTCTCAGCACAAAGACACAAGAGCGTTATTAAAAACAGAGACTGCAGAATAATCCACTTACCTTTCGAGATGTTACTAAATTTAGGCACGCTGGAGACCTGACTTATGATCTAGTCACTAGGAAAAGCCATCTTAATTACAAACTCCGCAAAAAAATTCAGATGACTGATGTAAAACTTATGAGCCAGGTCTAGGAAAGCTGAGGATGAACAAAACCCGTGCTGGGGGCATAGCAGAGGGGTGAGTTGTCTGAAGGCAGCATCCAGCTCTGCTCAGCTCCAAGGGAGGTGGTTCATCTGCTCACTGTTGTATTTCTCCCCGCCCATGAGAGCAGCCTCCAAACGCTGCCACCCTTTGATTCCTCACCCCCATGAATGTGCTCATCTCTTCCTCCACTCCAGAAGAACGTGTCATTTCAGTGCTCCCCACCATGAGCCATTAGTTTTGTTTTTATAGAAGGGTTGGGTCATATACTTACTTCCTTGTGGTCCATAAAACTTCACAACAAATTCATTGAGTCCTCCTAAGATTGTGACTTCATGTTTGCTCTCAATACTGATACAGCAAGTAAAGGAAAAACATTGAATCCGGGGAACAAAACCCATTTACTCAGACATGGGTAACTTGCCAGAAACTTGTCACAACCAAATAGATGAAACCAAATATTCCAAATATTCTACAACACGCAATTGAAGCGTCTTGACACATCTAAGTGACTGCACCACCACAATGATGTCAGTAAAAGCCAACCCAACAATCCCTCCCCCTGCGCTGAGCAATCTTGAGATGACGCCTCCCTTCCCCTCCGAGCTGTTTAGCGTTCTCCATCTACTTCTGCAGAGCGTAAGCTCCGATTTAAGAAAATGCCGAGTCCCTATCAGCTAAAATCCAGAAACTGCACCAGCTCCAAAGCCTCACCGCACACAGACAGGAACCCCAGGGGCAAAGCTTGGAGGTGAGACCACGACTCAAGAGATCTCTCTCCTTGGCTTGGGAGACGAGCCACGAAGCAGAAAATCACCCTTGCCAACCACTCCCGTTAAATGTTGATCCTCTCCTGCCCAGATTAGAGGAGCAGAACTCACCCCAGTCCCTGCGCTAACGAACGCGAGAGCTGATGAATTCAACTCTCCTTGGCTGCCGTCGGCGCTGGCAGATGGCCTCCCACAGCTCCCATGCAAATGACGGCAATCTCACGTTAATTGGACCTGCAAGACCAAAAAACCTCGGCGTCTTCGGAGAGATGGCAGAAGGGCGAGATGATGAGGCGTAGTTACGGTGTGAAAAGAACAACTGGACTTCTCAAGGTTTAAAGGAAAGAATCAAAGCACCAGCGCTTTGGGGAGAACACAAACGGAAAGGCAAGAAATCTTCATTTCAAGTAAGGTTCAGTTGAGACAATTAACGGGGATGCTTCGGCACCCGAGCTTGCTGAAGAATTCCTGCTATAAATCAGGGTAACGGATTGTGAATAATATCCTACAGCAATTACCTTTAATCAATAATCTTCATATGAATTACGAGGGAAGCACTGGAAAAAAACAAAGAGCAGGAGAAAAAAAAAAAAATCAAAGGTTTATTCCCACCTGAACTTCACACTGCTTCAGCTCCGCACTGCACAGAGAAGCGCAGAATATCTAATAAAAGATCCTGAACATCACAGCAGCGAGCTTGGCAGAAACGCTCAGGCGAAGAGGAACTGAAGCCAGGTCCCTCTTTTACAACCACGATTCTTCACTCTGATGCAAAAGGTTTTCTTGCTTTCAAGGCACACAATTTGCCCGGGAAGCTCTCTGCTTTGCAAAAGTTATGTTGATCCCCTCGTGCTGCATAAACGGGCACCCACATGCCTTGGTACACACTCACACAAATATTCCTGACCCACCAGGAAACAAATTCCCAGCTCAGGTCGAATCCCAAACTGAGTATTACGATCCACGAAGTCTGCAGAAGGTGAGTCGCACCAACCACTTTAAGAGAAGAGGCTCCTGGATCCAGAACTGCCGATTCCATCCCGGCAGCCCGTGTGCGTACTCGTACGCAGGAGCTCCGAGTCCCATCTGTGGGGTCCGTCAGGATTTATGACAGTTCCTCAAGTACAATGACTCCCAGATTGGACAGAGTTTTCCCACAGTGCCAGCTCCAAAAGAGTTTGGACACAACAACCCTCTTCCCCTCGTTCTCATGGGGAGGGAGAAAAGTTTACAGCCGTTTGTTTTGGCTCAATGAGTTTTTCTTGGTTCAGTTAAACAGCAAGTAGCTCGCCAAACCTGGCAGCCACCCAAGAGTCACTCACCAAGGGCCGATCGATGCCTTACTGCCCCAACCGCAAGCGATTTCTCCACTAAAAGCCAACGCAAAGCTGCATCCTCGCAGGTTTGCAGAGAATAGCTCAGCACCCAAGTCCTGCAGCTTGCTTCAGACCTGATGTTAAGGGACACTTGTCACCAGATCTTTTCACGTCACCCAGTACGGTGACAATAAGTTTTAAATGTCGGCTTGACTGAGTTTAAGTTCTTTTGGAAATGTACACCCTCATTTGATGGATAACTAACTAATCCACCTCCAGAAACGGGTTCTTACAAACCCGCTGGGTATGACGATGCCCAAGAGTGAAACGTTTAATACCGAGGTATGTTAACACTTAGAGCAGCTTCGCGGATCAGGTCAAATACAAATGGTTTTACTTAGGACTAAATCAAGCCCCACTTAATAAAAACCAGCTCTCCCAGCCTGACCTTCAGAGCCAGCTCCCGAGCAGCTGCAGCTCATACGCTCTCCGGCTCCGCAAGTTAATACCAACCGTAAATTAAAGCAGAGCTTTCTACACTCAGACTCAGTCCTCATGTTCCCAAGTTCCAAAAACCGTTAATAAGAAACGTGGTGACATATGTGATTATTCTCCCTGTTGTGGCAAGGACCTAGAATTCCTACAAAAATATAAAAAAGCATTAGGTTCACAAAAAGGGTATTTGTTGGGATATGGACGCTGCGTTTGGGAACAACCGCATCATTTATTAACGTGATACAAGAGTTTGGGGACAGGCTGACCACAAAGGGAATTTCAGCAATAAAAACCTTTCAAATAAATACCTGAAGAGCTATCAACAGAGGGGAAATCTCTGGAAATGCACGAGGAGGACTGGTGAAGCTGGGGAAGCCCCTCTTCCTGGGCACAAAGTGAATTCTAGAGGAGCCCCCACTTTCTAACACAAGTGGGGTGAACCGCCTTCCCCTTTCCTCTGGGTTTGCTCTGAAGCGAGATTCCAGGAATTTGAAACCTTGAAATCCCACTAATAAAATGATTGGGAGCATTAGTGGGAGAAGTGGATGGAGCAATGACACAAAGAAGAACAATTCCATCCTATGAGGTCTCTCCGTCTCCAGGAAGTCTTCAGAAAACATTTATTGGGACTCCAGGAGAACCGGGAACCCCAGGTAGACCTCAAGGCTTCTCCATCCCACAAAGCCGTACCAGGGAACCCTCTAGCATCAGCAGGATAAAGCATGGGAGGACAGCAGAAGGGACTCGACCTGTTTGGAGGACTGTCCTCTGTTCCCAGAGAAAGCTCCACCACGGCTCAGGGCGATGTATCTCCACAAAAAGAACGTGGGCTCTGACCCAACTATTTTCTCAGCTCAGACAGATTTTTTCCATAAGGCAGAAGTCTTACAACCAAATCCCAAGTGAATCCCGTTCCAAACACGCCAGCAATTCCTCAGTTGTCTCAGATCCAAGAAAGATTTGCCAGTTTGGAGACCCACGAGGCTGAAGGAACCCAGTTGTGCCTTGGGCGCAACAAAGCCCCTCTCCTGCATCCAGAGCTAGAAAGGGGCTGGTGCCAGATCCTGCAGCAGAGGAGCTCCCAGGAAGGAGAAATGCTCCAAGTCTTCAGAAAACAGAGTACAGCTTCAGGAAGCCGCAGGAAAAGAGCATCAAGAATTTGGAGCAAGATTTCCACAATTAAGGTGACCAGACTGTTGAGAGCAGCAGCCCCCCACGTTTCTCCCAGAAGAGCTAAATTCACGTCCAGGATTTCCATCCACCTCCTTCATCGGGTACTGATGGAAATCTGTGCAGAAAGCACTCCTGCAAGCGTTCAGGACTTCAAGCACACCGTCAGCATTTACGGGGAAGACCACGAACCCCTCACCTTGTTTTAGTCTGCTCTCCCCAGATGAATTCCTCTCTGCCCACACCCTCTGCACTCTTCATTATTCAGATTTGCAGAAAGAGGACGAGCAGGTAATGGATAAAGACTTCAACGTCCTCCATTCCAGTGGCAAACTAGTGGCTCATACTGGTATGAGCAGTCTGCCTTGTTTCCACAGCAGGACAGATGGCTACACCACGTGGATACGGGGTCAGGACTACAGAGGTACAAAACCAGCCTGTAACACATCACACACGCTAAAATATTTCACAAAAATACAACCAAATCCCTCTCAAGGCTCTCAGCTTGCTCCTACTAGTCGCCGGGACTTATGGCCCTGCTGCTTTTATCTCCTTATCATCTTGGTATACTCACTGGACTTTGTGTCAAATATAGGCAGTGTAAAAGTCAAGAGAAAAGAGCAAAATCTGGATACAAGTCAGGTTTCTAAGAGGTAAGAAGTTCAAAAGCTTTACCTTAAGACCACAGAAGCTAGAAGGGAGTCCTGAGGACCTGAAGACGAATTATCTCAGTCCCAAGACTATTAAGAGAATTTTAATGACGGTAAGTGTTGAAAATATTTAGATGATGATATGGAAAGCAAGCTGATTTTCCAATATCAGTTCAGAAGGGGTTGCTAGGAGAGAGGCAGAAGGGAATTTTTCTGCAGCTGATTACAGACTCCCTATATAGTGCCTGAAATGTGCCAGAAGCACAAAGGCCGACCGCGCCGCGTATTAGCATTACAGTAACATCCAGAGCCCCCTATCAAGATCAAGGCTCTATTGTTCAGGGGTTGAGCTCGTAGGAAATTGTTTCTTTGGTCAGAATGAAAAGTGATTTAAAGCATTTTGCCTATTCTGCATTGGAACCAAAAAAAAAAAAACAAACCCCACACACAAAACCCTTCAAATCTGGAGAGTGAGCGAGTGCCCAGCCATCAGAAACAGAGCGGCCACTGGGGATTTGCCTGTTCCAGGGTCGAGTTCCCATTCCCTCAGCCTCGTGCGGGGCCACCCACCACTTCAGGGTTGGATCTCCCCTGCAGTAATAAAAAAAATATATATAATTGTTAGGATACAACTTCACAGCCTGATCTCCCAAAATCCCAGATGAACATCACCACCAACAGATGGCTAGCCTGTTTGCAGGGTTGAGTGGTTTTTTCCTGGCAAACATTTAGCCTTAAAAAAAAATAAAATCCCTTTATTAAATTTCTTTAAAATTAACAAGCTTGGGCAAATTAGTTTTCCAGCTAAAAATATTTCCCTGAAAATATTTTTACAAGCCTAGGGACACAAGTGGCCATGAGCATCCTGCCCCAACGCAGCAGAAAAAGCAGAAAGCTGGAATGTCCCAGGGAAAAATAAAGTTGTATATTTATCTACGTGCATCTCCAGT